TCTCCAACATTCCCAGTGTTTTGTTGAACCTGTCCCAGCTTTTTTGGAACGTGTTGCAGGCATCAAATTCGAAATGAGTGAAAATGTGCAAAAACAATAAATAAATAAATAAATAAATAAATAAATACAGTGGTTTGCAAAAGTATTCATACCCCTTGAACTTTTCCATATTTTGTCACATTACAACCACAAACATAAATATATTTCACTGGAATTTTATGTGAAAGACCAACACAAAGTGGTATACAATTGTGAAGTGGAAGCAAAATTTTACATGAATCAAAACATTTTTTACAAATAAAAAACTGAAAAGTGCGATGTGCAAAATTATTCAGCCCCCCTGAGTCAATACTTTGTGGAGCCACCTTTTGCTGCAATTACAGCTGCAAGTCTTTTAGGGTATGTCTCCACCAGCTTTGCACATCTAGTGACTGCAATTCTTGCCCATTCCTCCTTGCAAAACAGCTCAAGCTCAGTCAGATTGGATGGAGAGCGTTTGTGAACAGCAGTTTTGAGATCTTGCCACAAATTCTCAATTGGGTTTAGGTCTGGACTTTGACTGGGCCATTCTAACACATGAATATTCTTTTTTTTAAACCACTCCATTGTAGCTTTGGCTTTATGTTTAGGGTCGTTGTCCTGCTGGAAGGTGAACCTCCGCCCCAGTCTCAAATCTTTTGCTGACTCCAACAGGTTTTCTTCCAAGATTGCCCTGTATTTGGCTCCATCCATCTTCCCATCAACTTTGACCAACTTCCCGGTCCCTGCTGAAGAGAAGCACCCCCAGAGCATGATGCTGCCACCACCATATTTGACAGTGGGGATGGTGTTTTCAGAGTGATGTGAAGTGTTCTTTCTCCGCCACACATAGCGTTTTGCATTGTGGCCAAAAAGTTCAATTTTGGTCTCGTCTGACCAAAGCACCTTCTTCCACATGTTTGCTGTGTCCTCAACATGGCTTCTGGCAAACTGCAAACGGGACTTCTTATGGTTTTCTTTTAACAATGGCTTTCTCCTTGCCACTCTTCCATAAAGACCACATTTGTGTAGTGCACGACTAATTGTTGTCCTGTGGACAGTTTCCCCCACCTGAGCTGTGGCTCTCTGCATTTCATCCAGAGTCACCATGGGCCTCTTGGCTGCCTCTCTGATCAGTGATCTCCTTGTTCGGCCTGTAAGTTTAGGTGGACGGCCTTGTCTTGGCAGGTTTACTGTGGTGCCATACTCTTTCCATTTCCGGATGATGGATTGAACAGTGCTCCGTGAGATGTTCAAAGCTTGGGAAATCTTTTTATAACCTAAGCCTGCTTTAAACTTCTCCAAAACCATATTCCTAACCTGTCTGGTGTGTTCTTTGGACTTCATGATGCTGTTTGCTCCCCAATATTCTCTTAACCAACATCTGAGGCCGTCACGGAGCAGCTGTATTTGTACTGAGATTAGATTACACACAGGTGGACCCTTTTGAGTCATTAGCAGTCATCAGGCAACTTCTGAATGCAATTGGTTGCACTCAGGGAAAAGGGGGCTGAATACTTTTGCACGTCGCACTTTTCAGTTTTTTATTTGTAAAAAATGTTTTGATTCATGTAAAATTTTGCTTCCACTTCACAATTGTATACCACTTTGTGTTGGTCTTTCACATTAAATTCCAGTGAAATATATTTATGTTTGTGGTTGTAATGTGACAAAATATGGAAAAGTTCAAGGGGTATGAATACTTTTGCAAACCACTGTAAATAAAGTTTGTATGTTTATCTGTTGTCTTGTCTTTGTAGTGTGTTCAATTAGGTTAAACGATTAGGTTGAAAAGAATTTACAAATCATCGTATTCTGTATTTATTTATGTTTTGCACAACGGCCTAACTTCTTTGGAATTAGAGTTGTTGTTTTTCATGTTCTCCACAATATGCTGTATGAGTTTGAATTTGAATTTATTTATTTAGATGGGACAATGCACATTAATCAATATTTCTGTAAATGTGCCGGAGTTAGCCACAGGCTAATGTTCATCTGTTGTCCCTGGACTTGCCATAAACAAAATCGATATGCAAAACAAAATAAAATAGCAATAAAATACAATCAAAACAAATCGCTCGAAAAAAATCACACACACATTTTATACAAAACATAAGCATTGTTAAAACTAATGTAAACCTTCATCAAGATAGCTAAAACACAAGTGGTCACATGGTGGGACAAGGCAAAACAGTTAAACAAAATGTTGACAGATCTGTTGTGTTGTAAACCAAGCCTTCAACTGTTTTTTAAATAGATTATATGTGGTAAGACTGAGCATGTGGTAAGTTGAAATGATAAATGTGGCATTCAGTAAATTTGATCTGGAGCTATCACCATTACTAAAAAAAATATGTGGCTTTAGCGTTTGAGCTAATAGTATTAGCTTGGGAGCTAATGCCATATATTGCCATGTATTTAGCTCAGGAGCTAAAACAAAAATAAAAGGAAAAAGCTGAGGTGAGCCTCCAGTGAAGATGTTGACTAAACATCCTACATTATGTTTAGTCTTAATTTTATAGTTGAAGTAAATGTTTATCTAATAATGTCTAATGTTACAACTAGTCGGAGATCCCTTTAATGTATTTTTAATTTAAAAATAAATTACATACTAATTCTTTATAAAACAGTGTTTAGTTTTTATGTCTGTAAACTCCTGTAAACTCAAATACAGACTGAGATAGAAGAACAACTCACACACAAACAGCAGCACAGTCTTTGCAGTAAATTGTCGCCCACCACCGTAAACGGTGGGTGATTATGTCACAAAATAACTCACGGTGACGTGGGTGGATTTATTTTAGGAATTTCTTATACACACAACAAAATAGATGGTACCCCCCCCCCCCCTTTAATGAAAGAAAAACCCACAGTGGTCACAGAAATAACCTGAACCTGACAAAAGTAATAATAAATAAAAATTCTATAAAAATTAAGAAATGAAATTCAGACATTGCTTTTCAACCACGTTTCAATATAAAAAAATACATAAATAAAACTCATGAAACAAGCCTGGACAGAAATGATGGTACCCTTAACTTATTATTATTTTGTTGCATAACTTTTGAGTCAATCACTGCAAACAAAGATTCCTGTAGCTGTCAGTGAGACTTCTGCAGCTCTCAGCAGGTATTTTGTTCCACTCCTCATGAGCAAACTGATCCATTTGTCTCAGATTTGAAGGATGTCTTTTCCAGACGACATGTTTCAGCTCCTCCCAAAGATACTCAGTATAATTTAGGTCAGCGCTCATAGAAGKCCACTTCAGTCCAATGTTTTTTTCTTACCCATTSTCRGGAGTTTTTAGCTGTGGTTTGGGTCATTATCTTGTTACAAGACCCATGAGCTGCGACTGAGACCAAGCTTTCTGACACTGGGCAGCATATTTATATCTAGAACACCTTGATAGTCTTGAGATTTCATTGTACCCTGCACAGATTCAAGACACCCTGTGTGAGATGTAGCAAAGCAGCTCCAGAACATAACGGAGCCTCCTCCATGTTTCACAGTAGGGGCACTGTTCTGTTCTTGAAATGCTTCAATTTTCTGGGCTTTTTCATGATTTGGTGTCCTCCTTGGTCATCTCCCATTAAGTCCAMTTTGGCTGAAACAATGACAGATGGTGCGATCTGACACTGATGTTCCTTCAGCTTGAAGTTCACCTTTAATCTCTTTAGAAGTTTTTCTGGGCTCTTTTGTTACCATTCGTAGTATGTGTCTCTTTGATTCCTCATCAATTTTCCTCCTGCGGCCACATCCAGGGAGGTTGGCTACAGTCCCTTAACTGTAGTCACAGGAACATCAAGCTGCTTGGAGATGGTCTTATAACCTTTACCTTTAACATGTTTGTGTATAATTTTCTTTMTAATCTCCTGAGACAACTCTGTCCTTCACTTCCTCTGGTCCATGAGTGTGGTACACACCATGTCACCAACATTACAGTGAGTGTCTGTAGCCCTGTATACACTGACTGATTACAAGATTGTAGACACCTGTGATGATAATTAGTGGGCACACCTCGACTCAACATGACCCTTTGGTCACATTATTTTCAGGGATACCATCATTTCTGTCCAGGAGTCTTCATGAGTTTGATTTTTTTTAATTCTGTTGAAGCATGGCTGAAAATAAATGTATGACTTTCTTTTGTTCTTTTTTATAGAAATGTAATTTTTTATTACTTTTGTCAGATTGAAGTTATTTCTGTGACCATTGTGGGTTTTTCTTTCATTAAACGAGGGACAACAACAATTTTGGCCACGTGTGTAAAATGAACCATTGGATATTTGTTGACAGCTCATTAACCTTCAGAGGCAACGCAATTTAATATGACTGTCACAAATAATCAACCAAAGACCAAAATGACTAAATCAGTCAGTTCTAAGAATAAAATGCTACAGGTGTGGTACGAGCTTAAAGTCATCTCCTTTCCATTTCCAGCACTCCAATGGCTCACATGAGTTCTTTGGTTCAAAGGGGGAGTCACCTCTTTCTGTCTGTTAGCAGAATAATCTAATGAACAAATTCTAATGAAACTATTGGGAAATCGCTGAAAAGTGGATGCACATACTGTATACAACGTAAATCAACTTGATTCAAAGTGGCTGCCAGAGCTACTTTATCAAACAGAGAAATTACAGATACTGACCTAAAGTTTTGTGTGGTAGTAGCTGAGAGTCACTCACAGCACAGTTTGAACAGATCTTGCAAGATCTTTGGTCAAATATTTGCATGTAAACCAACAGGCAATATGCATTCCTTCAAACAATGCTAGTTTTATTTACTTATGATGTGTCAGACCGTTCTAAATGCAGTATTACATAAACTGCTGTTTAAATTTAATTACTTTGCAGTGCAGCTGAAATGGAAAATGGTAAATGGACCGTACTTATATAGCGCYTTTTTATCCAAAAGGAAGAGTTTCTGTCCGTAAAATCCAGATTCTGATCCAATTTTTCCCGTCCTGTCTCTCTCCTCTGCAGACAGACATCGGCCCATTTCCTCACAACCGCACCGACAGCAGCACCTCAGATGTGGCAGAGGGAGGCGGCCCAGACAGGTCAGCTGATCCTGGGTCCAGCGCCACTGCCACTGCTTCTGACAGGCCCTGGAGGATGGAGGATGTTGAGGGCGAGCTGGAGAGGAAGGTGGAGCTGCTGGAGAAAGAGAGAAAAGCCCTGAGGCTGGAAGCAGAGAAACACAGGCAAGAAATCAACCGGAGCATCAGTAAAGTACAACATCGAATCTCAGGCCTGGAGGAAGGTAAGAAACAAAAAATAAGGAAAGAAGGAAGTACATAGTTTCATGTGTGTATTATGAAATTAGATGGACTGAGTAATTATTAAGCACACTGACACAAAGTCACAAATGAGAAGAAAAGACTTTTGAGAATTCAATAAAAGTTCATTTTTTTCTATTTGGTGTATTAGTTATGTTATGAAAGAAAAAATCTGTTCAGAAAGACTGAATATCCTGCTCTGCTTAGAGGAAAACCACAAATGTTTGATGTAGTGGTACCAACAAAAGAAAAGTTATTCTTTTAAATCTGATAACTATGGGAAGTTAACTAGTATTTCTTTGTGTTCTGTGACATTTTTCTGATTTTGTTGGTAGAAGAAAACGTTGGACATTCCTTCCCAGACGGTTACAGACTGTCCTTCCCGACACGGACGAACTACATGTTCGCTCTGGTGAAACACCCCATCCCCAAGCTGCGAGCCTTCACCATCTGCCTGTGGCTGCGGCCCGCGGGGGCAGGGATGGGGACCCCCCTGTCCTATGCTGTTCCCGAACAGCCGAACGAAGTGGTGCTGCTGCAGGGTCTCCACACTCCCACTGAGCTGCTCATCAACGACAAGGTAACGACAAACACAGAACTAACCTACGCAGCCTAGTTCTGGGCCACAAGTGGCACTAACACTCTAACATTCAGTCCTTTGGTGGCCCAGAGGTGGTGGTCCACCCATGGGCCAGGACCACCAGATCCTGTCACACAACTTGAGTCAATTTATGAAAACTTTATTATTACTTATTATTAATTGCTCATAAATGTTATATATTCAATCTAATCATTAGTATCACGTAGTCTATATGTCTAAAAGTGGCTTCCAGTAGATTTTGTTTTCAACGTAGACATCTTCAGTGTTGGTTGTCTTAAAAGTTAAAGTGGTGCAGGGCCTTTCGATTAAAACTCTGGTATGAAAGGCAGTTGGTGACAAGCATTCATTTTACACCCCAACTCAACTTACAACCACACTTTTCTGATCATTCAACCATGTGTGGGACCTGTCAAATATATGCTGTTTTTTGTAACAATAACTGCAATTTCTACTGAATGTTTAAATAATAGTTTGGTTCTTTTGAAATGAGGTTGAAAGGGTATAAACAGCCAAAGCCTGTTACAGTAGCTCTTTGAAAGACTTCACTTTGGAGAATTTTGGTCTAAATTCATTTATTTCTCCAAACTGAGGTCATTCAAAGTCTTGTCTACAGCAAGTAAAATATAAAACACCATTACAAAAGAAAAAATATATAAAAAATCTAAGCTATTCCTTTAAGAATAGAAGGTGCTTAGCATTAATCTAAAAAAAGGGAAGAAAAAATTAAGAAAAAAACCCCGTATCAGACAAGCTAGTCGTGTTCACGAGTTCGGATGAAAGATTAAAATTCCATCTTGACAGCATGGCCCAGTGATGTAGAGCCATGCTGTGGCTTTTAGTGTAATTCAGAAAAGTCATTATGGTAATTTATTCCTGGAGGAAAAGTGGAGTGCGCTTCGAGGTAGCAGAATGGCTTCAGGGCAGAGGAAATACTTTATAACAGCCAATTTGGACTCATAAGACTCGTAGAGAAATAACTCTGTCAAAAACAGATCAATTTTCTTGTCGTAGTGCTCTGCTTCATCCGCGCCATGCTAATGAGTTTTCACCTTTGGTTACATGGTGATGTATTTTGCCTCATCTGTGCAGAAGAACAAGGAAAATGGCTTTTATTTTAACCACACTTCCCATGTTTTTAGGTGGCCCAGTTGCCTCTGAACCTTTCTCAAGGCAGCTGGCAGCACATTTGTGTGAGTTGGACCCAAAAGGAGGGAGTGTGGAAGGCCTACCAGGGGGGGAAGCTGAGAGGTGAGGGTAACGGCCTGGCTGCTGGACACCACATCAGACCTGGAGGGATGCTCATACTAGGGCAAGAGCAGGTGAGTGCTTTGAAAGACAGAATAATCGTTGTAATAAGGGGCAGGTCAGTCATAAATTGTAATGATTGGACCTTTTTTTAAATTTTCCTCAAAGCCCCACTTTCTTACTTCTAAGCCAAGCTGACCCCCACACTCCCCAATCTCTCGATACTCCCCACCTCTTATGAAAACGTTCAACCTTTACCTCTTTTATCAAAATATTAATGCTGGGCATAGATTAAAATGTTTACTCACAGAGAGATTAATCACAATTATTCTCATTATTATGGACAAAATTACATTATGATTAAAAGATGTTTAGAGCATTTTTAAAGGTTCAATGCATTTTCAAAAACTTTAAGCAATCGGTTTCGCCGTCGTCTTTTTTTCTTCCACACGCTGGYCAGCCTTGTCTGCAGAACCCTCTCTTTGTTACAGTGATTTAAATTGAAGTTATATTTCAGGCTCAAACTCCTCCGTTAGTAAGACCTAGCAGTGTTTATAGATATCTTTACTTCTATCCAGTCTGCCACTGGGAAGGGTTTTAAAATAAAAATTCCCAAAGTTTAGTGACTTCCTCCACGTTTCCCGTCTTGGCTACTCAGGTTCAAGTGGCCAGGCAACAGCCCAACAAATAAGCCTGTCATTGGTTGAGACACACGATGATGGCTGTCTAAAGTCAATGGTGAACAAGATCCCACCCCACCGGTGACTGCTCTGTTTGTGTGTGTGTACATGTTTTTGCTACCTGGTGGGGGTGATTTTTGAACACTTTCCCAGTACAAACAGCCCCTCTGTTCCTTATGGGAACAAAAACCTGGCCCCCATTGAGGGAAACGCCATTGGTCAGTCAGGGGTTGTGGTTAGAACCAAGGTGTGAATGCTGTAGACATAATCYGTAAATGAATGCTTATATACAGTATATGTACAATTTTTTTCTCCATGATGACAGGGTAGGCTTTGCCTCCCCTGCCTCTAGTCACTGCACATCACTGCTTACAAGTTTTTAAACATCCTTTAAATTTGTTGTCATGAGGATGTTTTTAGGATCCAGATTGTTTTGGGCCCCCTCTGAACACTTGATGCCGCAGTGCGTGGTCTGAGTGTGCAGAGCACCGGGCCTGGATTCAACAATAAAGAAAAAATTAACTGCATTAACACGCGTTAAAGATATCKCTGTTAAACATTGGCTGAGTCAAYGTGATGGTAATAACATAGGATAAGATTTACTTTATTGTCCTCAAGRAAAATTTGTTGCAGGCAGAGGYACARYGACTGCAAGACATTCAAACAGATTAAGACCAGAAACGTCATAGTACAAGTGTCAACGAATCAAAAGACAGTGGAATAATGCTTTAATAATGCATTGATGTCCAGGTAAAACTTTACAAACTTTTATTTAGAAAAGGAAACAAACAAAAAAAGAAAGAAAGAAAATTGGCTTTTTGTCAACTAGACATTTTCATTGATAGTTTTTATAACTGATATTAGCCTAAAGCAGTGGTTCCCAAACTTTTTATCTTCTGACCCACAAAATATGCATGGCAAAAACTTGTGACCCCAAATATTACTAGTC